AGAAAAAAAAAAAAAAAAAAACGTCGCAAAAAAATACATGAAGAACTTAATAATCCATCAATGGATCGGGAGCCGGAGCCGTCACGGTGTACGGAGTACTAGTAAGCATTACAGTAGGCTCATTCCTGGTACCTGGGCCCCGATAGAGAATGGCACAGTGGTTGATTGCTGTGACAATAATTCTGGAAAAGAAAGGCGAACAAAAAAAATAGAATAAGATTCAATGTAGCATAATGCGAATGTGCCTTGCTTTTTGGGTTACTAGGAATGGGAGACCATAATGTAGTATTTCTTTTATCTTTGACAGTGAACATCATCGTCACAGGATCAACATCAGGGAAACACTGGCTCAGCATGGCAGATCATCCGTCAAGAGCGACCAGCCTCGACCTCTCTTTTTTTGTCTTCCTCTACCATACCCGCGCGTGCGCACCCCCACCGCCAGAAAAGGTGAAATGCGAGATGATGGACTTGCATAGCAGCTTGCCTTGCTCTCGTGCATCAAAAACTCTGTCTCTGTTGGGTTGCGGAGGACTGACTTTTTCGGAGGTTCAGACAGCCACTACTTCATGTCGGTATGTATATATACTGTCTTTCCAACTTTCTTTCTTCGGTTCTGGTTTTTTTTGTTTTTCTGTACTTTTCTTACAGGTCATACTTAGTCAATTCAGTAAAGCAGAACCATGCATTTTCGCTATTTACTACGATCTCCATGCATCTGTTCTGAAGTAGTCGACGGCGACCGAGGTGTGTGTGTGTGTACCTATCAAGAAATGAATGACGATGGGGCCGAGATCCCCGTCACAGGTTACAGTCGGCTGGGATCTAACCGAAACAAATCACTGGCTGATCACGCTCTCTCAATGAACCATTGGCCAGCAAGCTCTCCTGTGATTATTACTAAGGTTTACGATTCAGGAAGAATCGAAACTCTCTTCAGGCTTTCAAAGGGCAATTGCAAGGTTGCTAAAGGCTTCCCTTTGGATTAATTGGCTTATTTATGGCCCGCCCCCTTACGATCATTCCGGACGAGTAATGAAGGGATATTCAAACGGATAGTTTGAGTTAATAGCTATTCTTGTCCACCGTTGGCCATGAAGGTCCTTTCTCCTCGATTTACGGAGTAGGGATAAACGCAATAACTAAACGTACAGGGTTCAAAATTACAATTCAATTTAATTTAGTTATTATTGCGATCACCGACTCATTTCTATACATCAATTCATCTGGATATCTCGAGGTGCTCTGTAACTCCCTATTATTGGGTGTTTTAGGTTTCCGGTCAATTTACAACCCATTAAGCAGGGACCGAGAAACCCTGTCGAGTAAGTACAGGTGGGGGAGGAATGTACACTAACACCCGACTAAGCACCGAATAAGCAGTGAGGAGAAACCTGAAAATTGATAGTTATTTGAATTGACGGGAAACCTTGAGGGTGACAGATGTCGATGCAATATCATTACTCCCCCAAGGTCTGTGCGTATGTATGTACATTTGAATGAATCGGGGAGGCGAACCTTGGGCACTGTGGCCATGTGCTGGAAGGCGACTCCTACGCTCAGACATGACTTCTCCAGTCAACCCTCATGCCTGATACAACCTCATTGGGTTGGAAAAGCCTCAGTCCGTGTTACTTGATACCAGCCATCCACGTGTTCGGGGGGAGGTTATATTTCGCCTCTATCAGATTTCCACGGCGAACAAATCTAACCAGGAAAGTCATAATTTCAACGCGTGGAGATATATATCAGAATTGCTCGACAGGAAGGTCCTTGGGTGGAAGGTACCTACAATTTGCCACTGACCTGTGAATCAGCCTCCCCGTGTTATGATTATTATAGGCAATGGGCTCTGCATGACTGCAGTAGTTTCGTCTTAGCCGTCCCCTAGTAGCACAGTTACACCCCCTCCGAACTATTCAGCAACCAGGTGGCCGGTTTTTCATGGTCGCGCGCAAGGTCGGAGGAAACCACGTAAACCCTCGCCCGTGACGTAGAAAAGGGCGTGGCCTGGATAGATCATTAGATGGATACCGTAGTAGGAAGTTGGGTTGAGACCTCTCCCTCAGTCTCAATTACAATCTATATTCAGGGTCGGAACATGGACGGCATGGATGCCACAGGCCACTTCCGGGCTATCAATCACGGGGGTTGTTACACTTTGTCACTCCCACAGGACGTAACTCTGTGCAACATGCTGGTCGTCACTCAGCAACTGGAATGCTCCATGAATCGTTGTCCGGACTGTAATGGGCATTATCTACCAGTTGGAACCTACACTGTCGGCTTGACCTCCCGATGGCTGGCTGCTGGGCGGATTGACCATTGGTGGGCCTTCTCTCGATGCGAGGGATTCGGCCGTATTAATTTGTATTGGAGGGGAGTTACAAATACCCGACCGAGTCAGTAGTATTCCTGTAGTTACAGTATGTATGTATGTATTTCTCGCTGTATGTACTGTATGTATCGTACCTTCAATATGTATTGGAGTACGTATGGGTTGCCGTAGTTTAACAGATGGAGCTCGACTGCCAACACATCTAGCATCGCTTTCACTAAGTAATATAATAATAACAATAATCATATTCATAATTATAAAAAGAAAAAAAAAATTGGGAATTGTTATAACCATACAACAGAAAACCCTCCCATCCTTAACTTATTCCAAACCTGCCAACACCATACGACCCCGACTACCTAATCTGGACACCCACCGTAATACCGAGCCACGCAAGAACGCCCCTAACCCCCTTGGGGGTGAAACTAGATCGATGATAGTAACGAGCTGAAACGTGCCGAACCCATTTCATCTTGGACCAAAATAAAAAAGAACCCAATCCTTACTGCCTAAGGAATAGTTTGGTCGCCAATCATCTGATCCTACCGTAGCGCGGCTGTGTCGTTAAATTTCTCCTACGACCTCCAGGAAACCGAGGGTAATCAAATGGGGCGCATTCAAAATCAGAACTGAGGCTTGGAGGTTCATCAGTGCAGATCAGAAACCCGATATGCTGGCTGAGTTGATCGTATATTTAGAACCTTGCCGACATGCGGCCATTAGTAACCTTGTGCCTGGCAGGCACCAAACAGCCCCCATTGAAGGGGAGGAAGCTGACAGGGGTTTAGAGAGAGAGAGAGAGAGAACAGGTCCCTTTTTTTACCTCTCATACTAACTAGTGGGTTAGCATACGATGGCATGGTCTGGTTACCTGGGTGAAGAGTAGGTTGGGTTTGGGTGGAACGGGGTATTAAATAGTAGTGCTTTACTATCGAACAGTGTTTCTGCGGAAACTCCGAGTCTGGTCTTCACTCTGTCCGTTTTCGGCCTGGCGTGGCGCCGCTTTTTGCTCAGTGATTGATCCACATGAGCGGGCGTGCCAGAAGCACTGGTCAACAATCTATATTGACTATGAAAGTGTACTTAATTGTGAATTGTTCAACTCTGATAGAAGCTGATTTTTAATAGAAGGGGGAAAAAAAAAAGAAGAGACACATCTAGTTGATCGGAAAATGACTTTTACGGAGGAGAAAAATTAGCAAACTGAGGAAATTCATGATATCGTCAACGTTCCTCTAGCAACTCAATCAAATACTTTTCCAGTTTCTCCGGATTTGTCATTGGTGACTAGCGACTTCTCACCTTTCCATAGTGGTCAATGGCGAACTAGGGCAATTTGTTATCATTTTTGTTCGTCCACCCCCCCGGTAGAGTATTCGGTTCTATACCTTGGTAAAGTTCCAAGTAATTCTACGATAACCCAAGAATACCCCCTTCTGCTGTTTCATCCAGCGGTGCAAGGGTGCGGCCTGACTTCCATTAATGTTAATCTTGACCAGGACTGGAAATGTGACCCCATAGTTGAGCTGGCAGATGATCTGAATGTCGTCGTTATGCCCAGGTTCCTGCCGCAGGAGCTGATTACAAGGAAATCCCAAGATGACGAAGCCATAGTTGTACTTTCCCCGAAGGTAGCCATTGTGCCTGATATGACCGAATTAAATTGGAAACTGCATGCTCCTCTTCAGCCACAATGAATACTATTCTATCCATATATATGTGCATAGTTTTACTGGCTAGCACGCGCTGCGCACAACTCTAAAGAGATACAAGACAAGTGCCGCCGTCCTCACTTAACTGATGCTTTGCCGTGTATTGCCTCGCAACTTCTCTCATACTTCATGCTGATCAAGATCCAAGTGATCAGCTTATAGGCCTGGAGATGCAGGGCATTCGGTGAGTTTTTCCAGAAAAGGTTAGGGCTGACTAGAAGCAACCTCAAATGAAAATGTTCATTTATTATGGGCTCATTCGATCAATATTGCTTCTCTCCTTTCCTACTGAGATCTGTATGAAGCTTCAACCGAGAAGAAACGAACTGACCATATGATCTGATCGTGTATGGCGCTACTGGCTATCTAGGGTCTCTGGTAGTGCAGTACCTGTGGGCTAATGGTCCGCGAGCCCTCCAATGGGCTGTCGCTGGCCGCAGTGAGAAGAGGCCGATGACCTTGATAGACGCCTTGAGCCGATCCCAATCTCGTTGTAACTTATCTCATGTTCTGGTGGCCACACCCAGCAGTGATGGTCATCGCGTATGGTATCACAGACACGTCTTGTGATCAACACGGTCGGGGTAAGTCCCTTGCTATCTACCGCACTTTGATCAACAATACTGATAGTATAGCCCTTCTGTAAATATGGGACACCCGTTGTGGTGGCCTGTGTAGAGAATTCGGCTGCTTATGTAGATTCCATGGGTGAGCACATTTGGACGTATCAACTGGCAGTGCAGTGGCATGAAAAGGCCATGGCTAACAAGGCAATTGTATGCTCCCCACAGAATATACGGAGAGTTGCTGATATGGCAGATTATCCCACATTGCGCCGTAGAGTCAAGCCCCCCGGATCTTATGACGCTCCTACTTGCGCGGAGCCTGCGCCGTCGTCTTGGATCCACTGTCTTCACAATTCAAAACACCTGGACAGGTTACAGTGGGGGGGTCATTTCAAGTATACTCGCCGGTCTGGAGAAATACTCGATTCGGCAGATGATGCCTGCCAGTGCACCACGCGCGACCTGTATCCCAGATGCCGGACCACATCAGCCTTACCCTCATCCAGTCCTCCCCATCTGATGGGATCGCTTTCTGGATAACCTTACCTTCAACCCATCAACGATGGCTGATCACGCCGTTGGAGATTTTGGAAGGAAATGAAGAGGGCTTAGTAATAAAGAGATTAGGAGGTGGAATCCTCTCGCCAGCATTGTTAAGGATCTTATATGTGGAGCGGCTGGAAAAGGAAGGATTGGAGTGGAAAGTGACTGAAATAAAGGAACGAATGAGTAGTAGAGTACGGAGTGTGGTTTATAGCTATAGCCCACGATCTGCCGCTAAGATAGTTTTCAATGTCCAATTGTTTGCCTGCCTAAGATTACTTACTAACAGCATAAACGATCTTCTTTCCCCTTGCCTGTCCACAGCCCATGGCAGTATAGCATATTTTTATGCTATCAGTGGAGGTTAAGCAGTCAAGAATAAGAGATAGATACTAGTAGCTTGCCCACATGGAGAGCGACAACTAGTCAAAACTGTCAAAGGCTAGTGGGTCCATACTTATGGACATAACTCGTTTATATAAGCAGCGGTGGCATAAAAAAACACAGAGGCAGCTCACTACTAGTAGAGGTAAGTAGAAATTGGTGTAAGCGCCAACCCGTCCGAGAGCTAACAAGTCCCAACACTCTCTATGGCTAGCGAGTAGTGCTATTCTCTTCCCTCCTGCTTGCGTCCGCTTCTTTGTTTCTCCCCGGACACTCACTACTACAGGCCCATGAGTAGCAGTTGTCACTTCATGAGCCGGCGAGCTAACTCGAAGTTCCCAAGAACATTTGACTCTAGAATCCTGGTAGAAGATAATGTACTCGCTGCTTTATGGGCTCTAGCTAATAAGCTGTCTCGGGTCCCTGCGCTATACCTCAAGAATATTACTTCAGAAACGCGAAGAGGACACAACCCACAGAATAACCAGTTTGATTGTCACAATTCCATCACCTGACATCACCAGCTCCGAGTCCCTTCTCCCGCCAATCTCTCTCTTGGCCGACTAACACTTCTCACCTCCCAAACTTCTCACTTCGCATCATCTTATCGGGGCATACGGGGGGGCCTGCCTAAGCAACTCCCAGAAGAAGCTTGCGGCAAGTTACGGATTCCATCGGCTCATCTACTTTATCGGAGCTTATCAATTATCTCTGTACTTTCTTTATACCAGTGCGACCATGACCCCCGCAAGAGGGCGTGTGCCTGGCCAAAGGAGCCCGCATGTGTTGGTACGTCCTAAGAAGATATCAAGCCTCACTTGACCGCATGTTGCGGGACTTCTTTGTACACATGTGTTTGCAATTGTACTCACCTAGTGTTAATCTCAGGTAACCGACTCGCGTGAGCAGCAACCATCTGCCCAACTTCGCCGTCGTCGGTCTCCATCCACACGCTTCATCACGGTCGACAATGTGCTCCAGTATACATCGGATATCCCCTCAATGCAACAACGGCATCCACCCCAGCCGTCGCGAGCCCGCCCGCGGTCGCGTATTGCGTCCGCAACGGGTGGCTTAATTGGCTCGGGCACGGCAGGTGCATCCAGCGGTAGTACCAGCGCAGCGAGCACTGCGGCAACGATGGGCCGTCTCGCAGCTCAGCCCCGCCTACCCCCTCGGTCAACAAAAGTTAGCGAAAAATTGGTCCTTCTTCCCGAGTCGGAAGAAGTGGATAATACGCTGTCAGAGAATGAGGAGGAAGATGTTGACGAGGAGGCTGTGGATGAGGAGCTGGTTCAGAGACTCGCGAGGGACAAAAACATCGATGCTGACATCGTGAGGCAACGACTATTAACACAGAAGAGGCTTGGTGGGGAATTTGGCGTTGACAATGACATTGCACCTCTGCTGGCAGAGGAGGAGTTATTGCGCCGCCGGAAGGTTGCGCCGGAGAAGGCTAAAAGTTATGCAGAGCGGTTACCGAAGACTCGTCGTGCGGGGAAATTGGCCCGTGTGACGGCCTATTGTACTGCACAGGCTTATAAGATGAGTTCCCTGGCGACCTTTGTCAAGGAAAGACATGGGGGAAAGACGAAGCTCTACGACGATTGCCTGTATACCGCGTACCATTTGCCATTATTACCCGGTCATGGAGGTTACAGGCTCAGAAGTAGTCCGGTTGTGAAGAAGCCTGGTGGAAAATCTCTTCTAGATGAAGAAATCGAGCGGAATGAGCTACGTGATCACCATGAAGACTACATGCCGGAAGCAGAGGAGCATTCGGTTGTCGGAGGCCGTGGCGAGCATGGCTCGCAACACAGTGATAGCGAGACACCTGGACACCACCAGGAGGGCTACCATGCAGATTCAGGGATGAGGGCCGAAGCTACTGATGGCGCAGCTTATGAGCATCATAGTCAAGCGCTCGCTGAAACACCGGAGCCTACACGATTGCTATACAACGTGGCAGAGATGTTTGTTTTCAGTTATGGCGTGGTAGTGTTTTGGAACTTCACGGACAGGCAAGAGAAGGATCTCCTCGCCGATCTTGCTTTTGCGACGTCGTCCGTGACTGGAACTCCCATTCCGCTGGCCACTATGCCTTTACAGGAAGAGGATTTCGAAACGGAGGAATTCCACTTCGAATATTCCACTGAAATCTCTCGCCCCCGCGTATACAACGACATGATTACACTACGAAGCGGTGATCACATGATAAAATTGGCTATCAGTCATGGCATTGCTCAGAGCACCAAACTCTGCTTCTTCGAGGAAGTCATGGCCAGGCAAATGGCCGAAGCAAAGGACATACCACGTAGGCTCGCAATGACCGGCAAACTGGGCATGAAACGGGAAGAAGTATTTAGAATTCTGGGAAGCTTATTCAAAAGCAGAGTAGAGGTCAATCTCTGTCAGTTATCCCACAGCCTACATACTCAAGATTCCAGTACTTACAAACAACCAACAGCCTCCAACATGCTAGACGTCCCCAACTTCTTCTGGGAAAGCGAACCAACCCTATATCCACTGTACATCGCCGTCCGCGAATACCTCGAAATCAAGCCACGAATTCAGGTCCTAAACGAACGTTGCCGTGTCTTCCTCGACCTCGCCGAAATCCTCTCAGACTCAATAGCCGACAGCAAAACCTCCCGTAAGTATCCTCATTCTACCTTTTCCAAATAAACAACTGACCCTTCAAGATCAAACCTGGATCATTATCGTCCTAATCATCATCTCCATCCTCGTCACCACCTCCGAAGTCTTTCTCCGATTCGGCCTCCTCTCTTCCGGTAAAGGCGCCTCATCTACAATTAATCAAGCATTCAAGGTTCTATGTCCTGGTAGGGCCTAACTACTTAATGTCTAGCTATGCAGGTACTTCCAAGATAGAATCTTGTCTGGAACGCTGCCTGAACCTGTATAGATAAAATAAAATGAAATCAAATCTACTGTCTCTTAAGAATCCTATTATCTCCTATCTATCCTGTATACTTTCTGTATTTGAATCCCAATATAGTAGATTCTCCATATCTATGTATATAACTATTTAATCAATAGCTTTTATGGTCTACTGGCTGATGCGCTCTCTGCTCACAGATCAAGACATACGCTAGTCAGTTTTTACTCAAAATTGAATTGAAATGCTTAAGCAGTCAGCCTGGGCACTGCTGCCTATCATCCACCCTTTCTCAGAAGCCCGATCTTGGGGTTTATCTTTCACTATGAGCGTCCGTGGAGCATCTGGCAAACGCCCGGTTTCTCCTCTTGATCCTGCTCTTGTTTCTAATCCAGTGCCATGGTGAGAGTGATACCATGCTACCATCTGCTCGCAATATAGCTTGTTTTATACTATATGAGACTGATAGTTCTATGTCGGATGAACTCGAGTTCTCAGAGGATCCAACACAGGACTTTTGGAGTATTTGGGAAGAAAAGGCTTCGATTAAAATATGGTATGCGACGACGACCTCAATTCAGCCATAAACCATATCGAGGTGTTCGATATTTCCCGCATCTAATCTAGAGAAGCAGCAAGGTTAAAACCTCTGCATATTTTTCCCCGAATAAGGTATCCCATGTTATCTGCAGTCTCCATGCTGCCTATAGATTGATCACTGGATTTCATATAGATAGTCCGTTTACCACAGTCAAATACCACGCACCTCACGCGATACTCTATATATCGCTCGCAGCTCCATATACTAGTGTGCCCGACTGCCAACTTATATAGTACATGTATGTTAATTGAAGTTGTAGGAACCAACATGCTATCACGGTTATATACTAAGTCTGTATTTGAAATTGTTCCAAAGTACCCCCAAAACAGCATTTGTGATCTAAGTTTGTGGTATCAGTGGTCTGTATTAATATACAATAGTACTAAGGGCAAAGTAGATGGAGTGTCCGACACAATACAGAGCAATATACCTACATTAAGTCCTGGTTAGTGAATATACTGGTATATACTAGTGAATCCAACTCAGTTATATTGACAGTTTATGTAGTATGGCTATGTTTTCCGCGTTTCTTATGATTTAGGTAGAGTGAACATGCTGAACTGTGTAACCACTAACTCTTTCAACAATTAGCCCGGCTGTAGTGATTTGGTTAAAGCCCCATCAATATCACCGAGGACGACCATCATTTGGTTCTTCACTGATCTGTTCTACCTGACTTCGGTACAACTATACATCCATTTATGCACACAGTACATAAACCAGCCAAGAGAATTCAGACCATAATATAGTGTTCGTAAGAATATGCTAAATTAAACATGTCGGATATCAATACAAAGGGCCACACCCCGGCAGATCTATGTATTTTCAGGATAAAGTCCAGCCTCAACACCCTTTCTCTAACCAGTCACCTTGAAGATAGACTCGGCAAGTCTCTTGACATTGTCAGAGGTGATACCGGCAACGGAGATACGGCCATCCTTGGTGGCGTAGACGGAGTGCTAGAATTAAACATTAGTGATCGGTTGTCTTCGATAAGCGACTGTACTGATAATTACTACGTACCTCCTTGGCAAGAGCATCCATCTGCTCGGGCTTGAGACCAGTGTAAGCGAACATACCAATCTATGGCAAGGTGAGTTAGCATCTGCCGATATGTTTATCCAAAGAGCTCATTACCTGGCTGGTGATGTGGGACCAGTCGTGCTTGCTGCCCAGGTCCTCCAGGTTCTTCCTGAGCAGGGAGCGCATCTCAATGATGCGGTCGGCCATGCCCTTGACCTCTCCCAGCCACTGCTGGTTGAGCTCTGGGTCGTTCATGATGGTGGAGGCAACACGGGCACCGTGGATAGGAGGGTTCGAGTAGAAGGGGCGGATGAGAATCTTAACCTGAGAATCCACACGCTTCTTCTCTTCGGTGTTCTCACAAACAAGGGAGAAAGCACCGACACGCTCACCATAGAGACCCTATGAATGATCAGCGACTAGTGTTTACCCCTCCGGTACCCGTTATTCTTACCATGTTCTTGGCGAAACTCTGGCAGAGGGCAATGTTGTGGCCCTCGCTCACGAAATGCCGGGGGGCAAAAGCATCCTTGTCAGCATTGCCGCTAGCGAAGCCCTGGTAGGCCATATCGAAGAAGGCAAAGTGGCCCTTTTGCTTCATCACATCGCTGATCTGGCGCCATTGCTCCTGGGTTGGGTCGACACCGGTGGGGTTGTGGGCGCAAGCGTGGAGAAGGATGATGCTGTTCTCAGGGGCGGCCTTGATGTCGGCAATCAGACCCTCGAAGTCGAGACCAATGGTGTCCTTGTTGTAGTAGCGGTACTTCTCAACCTCCAAACCGGAGTCCTTGAAGACAGCGTTATGGTTGGCCCAGCTAGGGTTAGGGAGGTAGATCTTCTTCGCATGGGGATAGAAGCGCTGCAGGAAAGCACCACCGATTCTCAGGGCACCGGTACCAGAGATGGACTGGGTGATGACGAGGCGGTCCTCCTTAATGGCAGAGGAGTCCTTGCCATAGGCCAGCTCTGCAGCGGCCTTGGTGAAGGAAGGGACACCGGTGATACCAGCGTACTCCTTGTCAAAGCGGGAGGCGACAACCTTGTCCTCTGCGGCACGAACGGAGGGCAGAACGTACGGCTTGCCCTTGTCATCACCTATTGATTCACAAGTTCGAACCATGTCAGCCCTGGAGTAGATGACAAGCTCGCCATGAGGTAGTTGGATCGAGTGAACAAGCGTCAAAGAAATGGTTGCTTACGGTAAGCGCCAACACCCAGGTTGATCTTCTCCTTGAACGAGTCGGCCTTGAAAGCTCGGTGATACCAAGGATAGCATCCTAAAAGGCATTGAGTTAATTGCGACATGCAATTGACGATGGCAGTGCATTGTAGAGCTTACTGGAGGACCCTGAGGGACGTTGGACCAGGCCGAGGCATGTCTGGCACCAACGACGACGGTGCGCAAGTTAGCGTCACGCGAAGCAGCCTTACGGCTGGCGACTCTGAGGGTAGACAACATGGTTAATGGAAAGGAAAAAGAATCGAAACAAAAGAAATCAAATCAATTGCCGATTGAGCTGCAGAGGTCCTCTAGATGGAAAAGGTTCCAAGGAGAGAAGAAAGAGGTCGGACAAGGAGGCGAGCAGATAAATAATCGGAGATGCTGCGTGTGTGTCATTTTTCGACTCATGTGAACTAGGAAGATTCCGGGGAGCGGGAGCCACCGATTCGGATTGGTCACCCTCTCCGCACTCACACGGTTAAATTGATCAATTCCAGCTTGCCAGCCCGTGAGTTTAATTTACTCGAGATGCATAAACTGTCCATGACTACTAGCACTAGAACGTAGGAAGAACCTTGTATTGCTCCTTGTGTTATTTGGAGAAGGGGAAAATAATAATAAAATATAATTCATAGATCATCTTTCGGCAAGCCGATCGCTCTATATCATATCATACCATACCATACCCATACATACACGCTCCTTCCACTCGGGGGGAAAGAATCTGATAACAGATCCAAGTGATAGTATGACCTTTAGGCAAGAAGAATAGGTAAGGTAACTGAAAAAGTCCCTTGACGGTTTAAGCATGGCGCCACTGCACCGCTCGGCGCTTTCGGCTTTCGGTGAGCTCTTTCAGAATTCTGGCCCACTGTGGCCTGAGGCTGCAGCCCTCGGGAGCGCCTCCCGATTCCCGTTTGGGAAACCCTTCCCCTCACGAAAAGTTTGGGGTAAATTGGAGTTGGCCTGAGGTGAACATCCTTTGTTGCCCTTCAACTCCATATGTCAATGGTCAAGGATATATAGCGGGGTTCTAGGCCCGGAGATAATCGAGAACCCTACTGTTTTCTCCCTCTAGGGAATCTAACCTACTAGCACACCGTCTGCCACGATCGTACGGTCTGTGAAGAGGAACTCCCGGAATCTGACAGCTCCATAGCGGTTAATTTCCCCACACGCCAAGGCATTGATCGTCAACAAACAGCAGCAATGAAGGGCGTAAACAAGCTAACTGCTTACTGCTCTGGACTTTTTCCGACTCCCTGGACAGCTGGGCCCGGCGAAAAGGATCTACTTTCGGCAGTGGACAAGGGGCAATAGTCGCGGATAGCTAAATATTGTTTCTATTCTTGGTATACCATAAGCTGTACAACGAAAACTAGGAATTAAACTCTGCATGGGCATCACAAAAACAATAGGGCGTAGAGTATCAATCGGCGAATAGTAGCTGTAGCCATTTATCCCAGTCGCACACCAGCCTGGCGATTCTTCCGGGCCGTCGCTCCCATAGCATTATTCATGCCTGTATGCTGACTGCTGTCTAATGCGCTCATTGCCTCTCGCTTCTTTTCCTCCTCAATCTTCTTCAGTCGCTTCTCCGTCTTCATCTTACCACTTCCCTTGCCGTGGAACTGGTGGCTCAGATGCTTGAATGCCTCCTTCTGGTTCATCATACGGCCAAACTCATCCACGTACTTGAGTTGCACATCAGGCTTGTATTCCTTGTTGAAGACATCCGCCATATGACGAGCATCCTGCTGGTCACGTTGCTTGTTCTCCCACCGCGCGTACTCTTCTCTTTCACGAGCAGACATCTGGTTGAGCTTCCCGGAGGCTCGGTCACGCTCACGCTGCAGACGGGCACGTTTTTCAGCTTCAGTTTCGAGGCGATGCTTTTCTTGTAAGAAACGCTGCCGATCACGGATGAGAGAATTATGGTCGGCAGCATCGGATGACTTGACCAAACCACGCTGCTTGAGCATCGACAATGTTGCTCCAAGGCCTTGGTCCAGTGTGGACTCTTCTTCTAAGCCGGTGCCACTGATCTGCTGGTTCGCTGTGGCTTCTTCGCTCTTGATGCGCGCTTTGAGATCTTCTTCGCCCTCAATATCATTATATGAGCGTTCCATATCCACGTCGGCGTCCTCCACAGGGTCGTCCTTGATACCAGGACCTTCAGACGAAGCACGTGGCTCCTCGGCCGGTGTTGTTGCCCGCCTTTCACGGCGTTCAGGGAGTGTAGGTTTCTGTAGGTTAGAGACAAATTCCGAAGTCTCGTCTATGACCAGACCAGGTTCTTCCTCGTTCTCACCCGAGCCTTCCACTTCCATTGGTGTCTGCGACGCTTCTTCTCTGAGCTGTCGTGCGATGTCCTCGGGACGTGCTTTCTGGCGTTTCTTGAATGCAGCGCGCCTCTGGCGGGTAAGAGAGGCTTGTAGATCATCGTCATCCACAAACGAGATGTCTTCGCTAACCGGCTTGCGGGGGGCAGAAGCTGGTACTGGCTCTCCGTTACTTGCGTCAACTTCCATGGAATTCCCATTTGGTGTATCCGTCGTCTCAGCCGTAGGGAATAAATCATCATCATCCATAACAGCACGTTGCTTTGTCGTCTTGGCCTTCTTTTTCTTAGGTTTCTTCACCTTGACTTCGCTCACGTCCATATAATCAGAGATTGGCGTTTCCTCCGCAAGATCAAGGCTGATAATATTCTTCTTCAACTTCTCAGAGACTTCTTGTCGCTTGGCCTCTCGTTCTTCGGCAGTGGATCCTTGGGCATCGAGTGTAAACCGCTTCCGCTTCTTGCCGTCGATTTCCTCATCGTATTGTGCGAGTATTCCGGTGTTTTCTTCCGTAGGATCATAAACGGGTTTGCGTTTCTTCAGCTCGAGCTTCTCTGTAGTTTTCTCCTTCTCTTTGAGTTCCAGGTTTTCCAGTTCGTCCCCTTCCTCCTCGTTCTCATCGATCGTCGTATCTTTCAGCGTAAGAATATGATCCTCTCCACCATCGAAATCCCCAACAGCATGCCCAACCTTGACACCAGCCAGATCTTCCGCAGTGTATTCAGCTGCACGAGCCCGCTCTTCCAGTTCTTCGGCGAGTTTGCGCGCGCGCTCTTTCTCGATCTTCTTCTGTCGTTTCTTCGTCTGCTGTAACCAAGTCTTCGTGTCCACCCCTGCATCGGCAGCTTCTCCTAGAGTCGCACCTTGAAGCTTCATATTTCTCTGAGCCTCCTCACGCGCCTTTCTGATCGCGGCGTTTCGCTCTTCACGTTTCCGTTTCGCCTCGGCTTCATCCTGCATCTTCTTCCAGTTGGAGGAGGCCAGCGCCTCGCGCGACTCGAGTGTACTTCCCGGCTCGTCATCTTCGGAAGACGAGCTCGAACCGTCGTGTTCGGATTCCTTGAAAGTAGGACCAGAGGCGTCGGCACCGGGGACGGGGAGCGGCTTTAAACCCAGCGCCACTCGGATTTTGTTATTCTGCTCGATGGAAAGTGCGTCGGCCATGTTGGCGACAGGTGAGCGCTATCAAGGAAATAAAGAAAATACACTGAGTAGAAAAGGCACAAGATCAAAGCAGCGATGGAAGGGTGTGGTCTGTAAAACCGATAGAGGCCATGCGCCCAGTTACCACCGATAGATTACAAGGTGAGGTCCAGACGGGGCTTACCTAACTGCAACTCGTCTCGGTAAGGTTTAGCGCGGCAAACCTATTAGCGCAGACGTTAGCGCGAGACATAAAAGGCGGCAGCGGCTGGAGCTCGAAAATTTTTTCTTTTCTTCTTCTTTTTCGAACACACACGGATCTGTGTCCAGCGATCCTGAGCGTGGAGGCTTGTTCTCTGCGTCTCGGTTGATTACTGGACAGTTCGACGACTTAAGGAGCCATACATTCATGGATGGTCGATTATTTCCGGTCGACAGATCTCAGATTAAAGGTCGACATTGGGTGTTCGCTCTGGTCTTGAGCTCCCTTCTTCGGGGTTGGTGAGCTCGGCTGGAGAGCCTGGTGCTCGGCGGCGTCATATTCCTACTCCCTTCACCGATTTGGCCGTTGGCCCATGAGGTTAGGGAAAAACCATGGCCAGCCAACATACATTCCTTATTACGTAGTTTTGCTGCAGTTGTATGCTAGATAGATGTGATTAGTAGACTATCTTGCAGTGTAACTGATCGCTCGAGCATCTATCTCGTGAAGGTCGCAAAGCATAACACGCAATTAGGCGTAGTGCTGTTGATTCTAAACTTCACTATCCTGTAAGCGTTGCTGGAGTAACTACATTACTCAGCCTTTATTCAACATTGGAAGTACGGTTACAACAACTTCAAATGTCCCGTCACACCGTCGACCACACTCTTCGGTCCCAAAATTCCAAGCACTGTCCGGCTTCCACTGGCGATTTGTGTCCGGCCCGCATCTGTGATGACCCTGGCGCAGAGACCCAGGCTGATAGCCTGCGCCTGCAGTGTCTCCATTTCCTCCTCCGACTTGGTCTGTAGCGCGATCTTAGCCTGTCCCTGCGATTCCCAGCGGCGCAGCATAGACGAGTTTGGTGAGTGGGCAGTGAGGTACTTGTAGCAGGCGAGAGTAGCATGGGAGCATTGAGCGGCGATTTTGCCTATCGACAATACGTTAGCCATCTTGTTCGTATGCACCATGCACCATAGAAGGGTCAAAAGTGCGAAGCAAAGACTCCATATCGTGGAGGTCATTAAACAGCTGTAGAAACAGAAACTCCGAAAAGAAAAGAGAGGGGAACGCCTACCCTTCGTCATGCCCAAATCGGTCCTCACAACTAGAACCAGCTTCACCTCTTCAGCACTCTTGTCGAAGTTGGCCAATTCGCTTCCATCGCCTTCGTCCTCGCTGTCAGACTCTTCCCCTTCTTCCTCTTCATCCGAGGAGTCTTGGTGCACTTTCACATTGTAGCTGTTTGGCCACCCTTCTTTTTCTTTGGAAGAGAACAGGCCTAGCGAGGAGCCTTGTCCGATGAAGTAGCCAGTCACGCCAGCGATGATGGCTGTAGCGACTACATATGCCGTTGTCGAGGGGGGAATGCGGTCTAGGTCGGCCATTTTGGAAGGTGTGTTGAAGCTGGATGGATGGGTTTTCTGAGATCCGCGCGGAATTAAACCCGGTTTGATGGGTGCGGGTACCTCCAGTCAACAATGACCGCTTTTCTTTTTGTTTGTTCCGAATGAGGCTTACAAGGGTTTACTCTAAACTTTATTAGATACATGACCATAGTTCTACTTATTTATATTTTTTTAATTATTAATTATCTGTAAGAGGAGAGCAAGCGTGAGAATAGGGAATGTGACACCAAGACCCAAACGTTATCCAAGTTTATCTTAGATACTGCTAGTTCATTATATACATCCCTAACCATAAACATCGAAGCAGACATCATCATCCTCATGAGCAGCGATGTTGAATTAGCGAGCAGCGGGGGCTCCCGTGTTTCCCATTCGGCGGCCCCTATTCCAGATAGTCAGTAAAAGAAGATAGCGATCGATCGGATCGGTGAAACTCACATCATAGAGCGGCTGAAGAAGCTGATGAAGATCATGAAGAGCCAGCTTGGGATTGCGCTGAAGGCATAGATAACATAGCCTGCAGGGATCAAGAGTCCCCTCTCCGCAAGCCAGCTATCCGTAACGTGGAAGGAGCCCTCGTACGCGCCCCGCTTCTCATAGGTCTTCTCAGAGTGAATTTTGTAAAGGGACTCAGCCGTTACAGTTGTCGAGTTGAAGTACACATTGTATTGCGCGGTGGCAGGGCGCTCCTCGCCGACCTGAGCAGGGACCTTGAAGTACGAAATGGACGGAGCACCAGCGGCCCAGGCAGAGCAGAGGACCCTGTTCGATTCGCAGTCCAGGTAACCAAGGTTGGGCGAGGTTGGATCAGCAGAGAACAGAAGAACGGATTCCTAAACGAGAAAGGTTAGCCAGACCCGCCTCTACGTCCATGCACCCGTGACCCCCTATTTTTGGACCCTTACATTGAACGATTTCTCCGATTGATAACAACGTCCAAAGCACGTCTTGTTTCCACCAGTAATAAAGACAAACCAGTCCTTAGGCTCGTCAGATGGCGCCAGAAGGGATTGCCAGTTGGAAAGGTTGAAAGGGGTGACAGTCTTTTCTTGAATCTTCTGTTCAACCACCTTTTCAACCGCGGCGGGGATCACCGGAGTAGCCGTGGGCAGAAAAGACTTGGCTTTGTTGAACCAACCCTGGACGCGATCCGCGATGGGAACCTGCTCTTGCGCCGCAGCAAGTGCTGGGAGGATGGGGAGGAGCTGGATGAAACGCATGATGCTAGAGACAACAATGACGCGTAGGTCAGCAACTAAGGGATCGATAGCTGACTAGAATATTTCGAAATGACGAACCTGGGTTGGCTATTGAAAAGACAAACGCACTTTGGGAGGAAGATGAACGATTAGGAGGCCAAAGTACGGACAGCAGGCAGCGAGGAAGACGGGACACCTGAGTTGTGGAAGAGTGAAACGGGCCACGATAGACATAAAGGTAAAGCTGGTCTCTGCGGCCAGGGCCTAACGGAGACTAAACTAGAAGCGGAGCGAATCACGTTCCGTCGCGGGGGGAGGAGCCCACTTGACAAGTTCCCATAATACCATGTTATGCATAGACTACAATGGAATTTACCAAGAAACAAACAGAATATCGTTGACTGTTTCCCACCAACGTCTTTGTTATTACCTTCTTGTAAAAGACAACTGCCGTGATCAGATTGCCTCTTCTTCGCTAGACAAGGGAATTAGGGAAATTTTATCAGAGATCCAATAATTAGCTGCTATTCTCATTTTCATACCTCGTGAGAGAGTAAAGTCTTGCTAGGTGTGAGGTTTCATATAAACTCTGGCCATCTTTCTTAGCTGCGGATCTGGTTCAAACCCAACAAACTATAGATGAAGGATAGGAAGAAAATGTAGTGAACGAGGTGTTAACTAGCATGGAGAAAACGGAGAAAGAGGTATGCTTAGAAAAAAAGATAATTCTGGAAGGTGGCATGGAATACACAATACATCATTATTTTCACGGCACCTTCTCTATGCTTCATGCCCCTCGTCCTCCTTCCTCAAGGTTCTTTTACTCTTCCAAAGCATCCTACTACAGTTTTCATAATGTAGCTACCATGCAGCACCTTTGACTCGTCAAGTGTTATTGCTCAGACATCACTTTATTGCGGATTTTGATATACGCACCTGTACTAGTAGCAATGAGGTAGCCCCTCGTTCCGGTCCCTAACGTCATCTCACTAGCGGTCACAACAGCTGCTCTATATAGTTATTGCCTCGGTGCTGCGATACAGGGAGCAAATGATCTCGGGCCTAGCCCCGGTAAGCACTTTCTTCTAAATCTGGAAATCTCAAGCAGAATTTAACTACTATTACAGCGGCGTATTGGATTCAAGAGTCCAAAACAACTGCGCGCCAGCAGATAAATAATGCTTCTCTCGATGATTTCCCCGTCTGTACTGACGTCGATGGCCCCTTCACACCATTCTGTCTCCCGCAGGATGGAGCCAATGTTGTAGTAGACGCCACCTACTTTGTTACCTGGAATGCCGATTTTTATCCGCTCAATGCTTCTATTAATATTGAGATGCGATACTCAAATACCACTGTTGGAGACTCGGCGTTCACATCTGAGAAAACCGACAACAGCTACGGGTATCTTCCCCTCTACATGCGCAAGGAATGGCTCCTGGAGAAGGCGCAGAATGATTTAACACTTTATCTTATCGAACTGAACCCTGCGTCGGGAACACGGGCGAGTATTCGGAAAAGACCAATGATCACGCTTCATCCTAAACCTGTAGAACACCACAAACCTTCTCCCCCCATGACTTTCAACAAAACGGCACTATTTATTGGTCTCCCGGTAAGCCTTAGTATCATTATCATTGTCGTGGCCGGTCTATTCTTTGGCATACGGGAGAGCAGAAGGATTGGACTCAGGAGTGTTATGGGGCCTCGAGGTAAAGGGTACGAGGTTGGGAAATCCAAGAGCCAGCGCCTGCGCAAAAGTAGAAGCGAATTCTATCGTTCCACTGCCGCCTCAGCGTTGGAAAAATATACAGACGACACCGACTCGGGTTTGGCAGAAGTGGCGGATCCTGACTTATATAATGAAAATCGAGCGCGCTGCAAGATTTGCATTCAGGCAGGATTCTACGAGGCTAAAGAACTGAAGAAGATAATGAATCATGGATGCTTGTTCTATGGGTCACTCAGCATCCTTCCAGAACACGCCCGTGCTTCAAGGCATGGGTCATAAGAACCTGAAGGGGCACAGGTACTAGTAGTATGAATTTCTGACTTTCGTCTTTCTCTCTGCTGATGAAAGCACATAGGGCTCTCATATAAATATAACCACGATCCACTACTATGTTGTTACTTGAGGTATTAATATTCTTGGCCTGGGTGGGTTATCCATTACCAGTAGTAGTACTCGGTACGGTTCGTCCGATGGGTCAAACCAACCGGAGAGCGAAGAAAGTCCATTAGTACGCCCGCACCCGTGCCTTGAGACTGGCACTTTGTCTCCATTGCCTAGGCGATCAAGGGCGGTGTCGGAGGGCATGGATGACGTTGACGAAACCGGTGAAGGTTGGTGTGCTACTAGTACTCATCAAAGTTACCCAAATAATTACATTCTCCAATGCCATGTATGGGCTAGATTACAGGTAAAAAAAGAGATGTACTCTGTAGGTAATCCGGTCAACCAGTAGTTACTAACTATCAGAGCAGGTAACTAAGTTGTGGTAGTGGAGTAGATATGTAAGCAGACGTAGCGAGTGCCTAGTGATACTAGTAGTTAGTAGGACCTTGATTATCAATTGTGTGCTTTCTAGAACCTATTTTTTATTTTTTACCTCGAGGGTATTGCCCTGCGTTCTACTGATTCAGTAGGTGTAATCTTGGAGATTATGAAGGTGCCCACAGTTTAGTTGTTTGAGCGCCCCTCCTCCCTACAACCAATGCCGATGTCGGTTGTCAGTATGGGATTCATTGGGAGAAACCCACTCCCCTAGATATGGACAGGGAGCATACTACCTAGTGAAAACCCAACGCACAGGTATTGATGGTAATATTACATGCGTAATGTGCATACTACCACATTTAAAAGAGGGGCAAAAATCTCTAATATTCCAAGAGAGTTATTGACAATTGGTCCAAATTCGAACACCGTCTCTGGTGGCAAAACTCTCTCCCTCGATGATCCTAACAGACGATATCAAAGCTGAATAGTAATGCGTATTACTACTGCACTACGCTAAGCCACGTAGGGGTTGGGGAAGATCCTCAAAGATGAGCAATTGGGGCTTCCGCAAGCGCTCTGGACAAGGGATTCCCCACACAAAGTTGCTCGGCCTGTGAAATTTTCTTTCATTGCCGCAAATCTGTGAAGTGGACGGCCGAGTCATACCTCCGAAGAGAGTAGACCGCCCGCCTTTTAAATGGACTCCACCCACTTTTCTTGTCTATGACTCTTTTCCTGTTTCCCTTTTTTTACCTCCCGGATATTTCATATAAACGTTTGATCGTTTAGCCTGTGACTCATTGTGAGTACTGTTATATATAGTTACCTATACCTCGTTCAACTTGATCTAACTTCTACCTCGTTCCAGCGTCTTTTTCTCCCATCCAACTTCTAGACTTTACCCCACTATCTATAGATATCGTCACAATGTGCCCGGGTGCAGACAACGAGCCCAATGGGCACGCGGCCGCTGCCAATGGCAATGGTATGTCTGGAAAGCACGTATTGTTGTTATACTTGACTGACTTCTGCCTGAAGGCGAACACCCCGGCTTCACTGGTATCGAGACTCGCCAGAACCCTCACCCCTCCGCCTCCCGGAACCCCTACGGCCACAACGTTGGTGTAACCGACTTCTTGAGCAATGTCTCTCGGTTCAAGATCATTGAGAGTACTCTCCGTGAGGGTGAACAGTTTGCCAATGCTTTCTTTGATACCGAAAAGAAGATCGAAATCGCCAAGGCTCTGGATGACTTCGGTGTCGACTACGTGAGTCATTCATACGAACTGCGGTTTGATCATGAAGGTCGCTTGCTAACATATTACCTGTTCTAGATCGAACTTACCAGCCCTTGTGCCTCTGAGCAGTCCAGACTTGACTGCGAGGCCATCTGCAAGCTCGGATTGAAGGCTAAGGTACGTTGGATTCTGGCATAATTCTCCTATCTTTGGACGGCACTAATCCATTCCGTAGATTCTTACTCACATCCGTTGCCACATGGACGACGCCCGTGTTGCTGTCGAGACTGGTGTTGACGGAGTGTAAGTATGCCCATACTTCCTTTAAATCTCTCATTCTTACAATTTCTAGTGATGTCGTCATCGGCACTTCGTCCTACCTCCGTGAGCACTCTCACGGTAAGGATATGACCTACATCAAGAACACTGCTATCGAAGTGATTGAATACGTCAAGTCCAAGGGCATTGAGATTCGATTCTCTAGCGAGGACTCCTTCCGTTCTGACCTCGTCGACCTCCTGTCCATCTACTCCGCCGTTGACAAGGTTGGTGTAAACCGTGTTGGTATTGCCGATACTGTCGGCTGCGCTTCTCCTCGTCAGGTTTACGAGCTTGTTCGTGTCCTGAGGGGTGTTGTTGGCTGCGATATTGAGACCCACTTCCACAACGACACTGGCTGTGCCATTGCCAACGCCTACTGTGCCCTAGAGGCCGGTGCCACTCACATCGATACCTCCGTTCTCGGTATCGGTGAGCGTAACGGTATCACCCCTCTTGGTGGTCTCATGGCTCGTATGATGGTTGCCGACCCTGCCTACGTCAAGAGCAAGTATAAGCTGGAGAAGCTCAAGGACATTGAGGATCTCGTGGCCGAGGCGGTTGAGGTCAACATTCCTTTCAACAACTACATCACTGGTTTCTGTGCTTTCACCCACAAGGCTGGTATCCATGCTAAGGCCATCCTGAACAACCCCAGCACCTACGAGATCATCAACCCTGCCGACTTCGGCATGACCAGATACGTTCACTTCGCCTCTCGTCTGACCGGCTGGAACGCTATCAAGTCTCGTGCCCAGCAGCTCAAGATTGAGATGACTGACAGCCAATACAAGGAGTGCACGGCTAAGATCAAGGCTCTTGCTGATATCCGTCCCATTGCCGTCGACGATGCTGACAGTATCATCCGTGCTTACTACCGTAACCTCAAGTCGGGTGAGAACAAGCCTCTCCTTGATCTGACGGCTGATGAGCAGGCTCAGTTTGCTGCCAAGGAGAAGGAGCTTGCTGCTTCCGGTGTTGCGGCTTAAATGATGCTGCCTATCTTGGTTCAAATTCTTTTTTCGCCTCCCTTTCTATCTTTTTCTCCCTTTTGTGTTTCTTATTTCCCCTTTGCATTTTGGAATCTTATCTTTGGATTAAAGGGCCCAGTGTTTTAGAACTTTCATATCTCAGCGGCTCCCGATGAAGATGCGATTTTTCATGATTTGATGTTTATTTATGCGTCTCGGGCTTCATTGTTATCGGGTATTCAAAAGTCTTGTCCATGGATGTGAAAAAAGGAAGGAGAGACTGGTGTTCGGAACGCGTTGGTCAGGAGGAGTTTGTATATAAGCAGGCTTAGATGACTGCATTTTTTTCCTCTGATAAACTGAACGCAGAAAAATTATTTCGTCATTAACCTGGCTCACTTACAAGCCGCTTTGGATACAAAGTGTTACTGTATGTATGTAATTTGGACACTAGTCACGACCTAGTAGGCAAGGCTACGGAGTAGAAAACCCGGGGAAAGTAAAGTCTGCAGGAAGGGCGCTGATGCAACGCTGGAAGATGTTGCATGTGCGGCACCAGCCGAGGCTGTTGGTGGAATCATCGGCATTCTTAACGGCGCTTCCCTCAACTAGACCCATTTCCCTGGAACGTCAGTTCCGACCCTTCCACCGTCCCCCCAGTCCATACTCGTTATCTTTTATCTTTGGAGGCCATCTTACTTTCTTATCAGTCTTCCAGACTGTTTTGAACATAACTATGGCATCCTCGGTTCTTCCAGTCGCTTTACAAAATAAGCTGCTGGGATACAGCAGAGCTCCTAATGCGCAGCTGGCGGCGTTGAATTTGGAGATGTAAGTGGAACATCATTCCACTCCCCCGCCGTCCCCAACAGCTTGTAGGCATCCGCACGCACGGTTCCTAAAACTTCCATCTTGGTCCTCTATCTCTCTAATGGAACAACAGTCTTAAAAACATTGTATTCTTAGTTTTTATTCTTCGCTACGTTCGCAAGACGTTCTATTCTTTACGCGGTTATGGTGTCCTCGGTAGCATCCGAAATCTCTACGCCGCGGTCCGTCTCTTCTGCTACTCCATATTCCTGCGCTTCCCCGGTGTCCGAGGTCAGGTCGACAAGCAGGTTTCGTCAGCAATTGAAAACCTGGAGACAAAGCTTGTTGCAACCGGCCCTGGTGTCACGAGATATTTAAATCTGCCTAAAGAGGGATGGACCCCCGAACAGATCCGCGCTGAGCTTGAGAAGCTGGCAAATATGGAGCATACCCGGTGGGAAGATGGTCGCGTCAGCGGTGCTGTGTATCACGGTGGACAAGATCTTCTGAAGCTCCAGGCGGAGGCGTTTGGGCAGTTTGGAGTCGCCAACCCCATCCACCCGGATGTTTTCCCTGGTGTCAGGAAGATGGAAGCTGAAGTTGTGGCTATGGTAAGTTGGGTCTTGTCAAGCAAGGTGAATTTGCGACTCATGTGATCGGACTCAGGTACTTGCGCTATTCAATTCTCCGGCTGATGGTGCTGGTGTTACTACGAGCGGTGGCACTGAATCTATCCTGATGGCCTGTTTGGCGGCGCGGCAAAAGGCGTACGCTGAACGCAGAATAACAGAGCCGGAAATGTGAGAATAAGCTACCTGTGGTAAACTGACCCGTACTGACAGTTACAGGATCATTCCCGATACCGCTCATGCTGCTTTTTACAAGGCTTCCGAATACTTCGGAATCAAACTGCATCGCGTACCCTGTCCAGCTCCCGAGTATAAAGTCGATATTCCTGCGGTGCGTCGCTTGATCAACCCGAACACTGTCCTCCTCGTTGGTTCCGCGCCAAACTTCCCTCATGGCATTGTTGATGATATTCCTGCCTTGTCCCGACTTGCCACAGCGTACAAGATCCCTCTGCATGTTGATTGCTGCTTGGGCTCCTTTGTAATTGCGTTCCTCAAGAAGGCCGGCTTCCCATCTCCCTATGAGGAGGAGGGTGGATTCGACTTCCGCCTCCCTGGTGTGACCAGCATCAGTGTAGACACCCATAAATACGGATTCGCGCCAAAGGGCAACTCCGTGGTGCTCTACCGAAACCGGACCTACCGCAGCTATCAGTATTTCGTCTATCCTGACTGGTCCGGTGGTGTCTATGCATCTCCATCTGTGGCAGGATCTCGGCCAGGTGCTCTTATCGCGGGTTGCTGGGCCAGTTTGATGAGTGTTGGAGAATCCGGTTACATCAAGAGTTGCCTTGACATCATGGGTGCAGCAAAGAAGTTCGAGGCATCTATTAGAGAGCACCCACTCCTATCGAAAAACCTTGATGTTGTTGGAAAGCCCATGATCAGCGTTGTTGCTTTCCAGAGCAAAAACGGCGCCGTTGACATCTACGATATGGCCGATGCTTTGTCCGCCAAGGGCTGGCATCTCAACGCTCTCCAATCGCCTGCAGCGATTCATGTAGCGTTTACTATTCCTACAGCCTCTGCTATTGACCAACTCACTACTGACCTCATTGAGGTTGTCGAGAAGGAATTGGATAAGGCAGAGGAGAGGAAGCGGCAAGGAAAGTCGTATATCATCAAGCGTGGTGATACGGCTGCCTTGTATGGCGTAGCCGGCAGTATGCCCGATAAGAGTATTGTCAGTCGTCTGGCCGAGGGCTTCCTGGACACTCTGTATAAAGCCTAGATGGTTCTTGTTGGTTGCAAAAATACATTGTTAATATTCTTTGAATGTCAATAGTCCTTATATGACACGGAAGAACGCGCCTTCCTGCGATGTAATTGGGAAAATGGCGTTTCTGGAGTTAAAACCGGGCTTCGCATTCACTAACGTAAATAAACCAGACGGTCTATCCTTATAGAGAGTTTTGAGCAATATCATACATCCATATCCTCGAGATCACATAGATTCCCAGTGCCCTAATATAACACAGTAGCAAAGTATGTATAGTACAGTAAGTCATGTCGAACAAAGACTGAAAATATAAGAAATAAGACCGCTCCATGCAAGCAGATACAGAAAATATTTCAACCGCAAAAGGTTCCAAGCAATTCCAGAACGACCCCTCCAGCTTCACAGGTGCATTGACCATAAGAAGCCAGCGTTACTGTATCCCAGATGAGCCTTCCGAGCAGAGAGTGAAAATAAATAAAGCAAAGGCGGAGTATCAATATATGCTAACGTCTATTGACTCCTCTTCGCCTTCCACTCAGCACCCGATGTCTGTTCGATGTAGTATCCCGGATCCGGCTTCCGCTCCAGATGAACTTCTTGTTTCGTTAACCGTCTATCGACCTCACGGACATCGACCAGCTCCTTAACTTTCATGATCTGACCGGCGACTGACGGAGACACGGGGTGGAACACAGTTGCCATGCGCTTCTTGAGGCCCAAGGCCTTGAGGACGTCTGTTGTTCTCCGGGGAAGACCAATCGCAGAGCGTACGAGGGTGACGCGGAAGTAGCTCATTTTGGAAATAATGTGTTTGTATGAGTTTTGAATCGTCGCAGAGGTGAGTTATAGGGTTTCTTCCGGAGTCGTTTTTTGTAATTTCGCGGCTCGGCCTGGAAGTAGAATTTCGGCGGACGGTCCGTGGTTTCACGTCTGGTTGTATGGCACAGATGACCAATTTATTGCGACAAGCCTGGAGCTGTGTTTTGATCCTGGGATATGGGAAAATTGCACCAAGACAGATACTTGTATATCAAACCATCACGGCGGGAATTTTGGCATTCCGATCCAGTCGGCCGGTGAGGCGGAGAGTCACGTGTATAATATTCTGCCGGGGTCTTCCTGGCGGGCGGAGCACCCCGTTTCAACTTGACAATCTATTTGCTTGGATGAAACGCGGGGATGTGCCATTGACTGCTATTAGACATAGTGGCATGCATATGGTTGCTATCTTGCTGTGATTTTACATACGGCTGAACGAAAACTAAACCGAGTTCAAAGCGCTGTGCGTTTTAAGAAGGCATACTTGGCACACCATTGATTGCGGCAGCATTGAGTACATTGCGATCGGGGTTGTTACGGATATTCTTATAACGGCTTCCCTGTCGCTCTTACTATATGATTGCACTACGGAACTACCGAGTTGAATGACCCTGCAGCAGACGGGGCACTTAACACTAGTATCTTATCCCGATCTAGTACCCTTACCTAGTGTATGATATCGTCGAAATGGCGCGAGGCGGAGACTCGGAAGGAACAGTGGCTCTACCACGGTTAGAAGATATCCTGCGTCACCCAGAAGACCTGGACAAGATCACTGGACTGAGAGCGGAATACTCGCGGAAGAAGGCAGCCGTCGATTCACAGCTCCGAGAAGGTCTCCGGGGTCAATTGGAGACAGTACAACGCAGCATCAGCGCGCTAACCGAAGGTCAGCGCCAGGTTTCAAAGACGAAAGATGAGCTCCAGGGAATTGACAAACTATGCGCGGAATCACAATCCAGCGTGGAGGATTTCTCTCAAATCGATCGACTTGCCAAAGTGCAGAGGAACTTCGAGGCAGTCTTGACGATGAAGAAGGGACTGGAGAACTTTAGTGAGAATCTTGCTGAGGTTGAGAATCTCCTAGGAGAGGATGATGATGATCTCGAGAACCAGCCGAATTTGCTGCGGGCTCATATGCAGATCTCTAAGTTGAGGGATTTCCGTGACGAGGCGATGGATCAGATACGGAAGGCTGAGGACCCGAGCAGTGAAGCCACGCTGGAGGATTATTTCCAGGGTCTGGATAATGTTATCGACTGGTTCGATGATCATTTGGGAACTGCCTGTATGAACCTGATCCCGCTTGTGCAGTCTGACAACCCTAGTATGGTTGTCCGGCTGGCTGTTGTTGTCATGAACGAGGAAAAGAAGGATGAAACAGTTCGTGCTTTGCAGGAAGCGCAGAAGGACCACCAGGACTTGGCAGGTCGGTTCAAGTCGATGAATGTGGGCCCCAAAACGGTTAGGGGCTATAAAGAAAAGTTTCTCCAAGCCATTGAATTCTACGCACAGAATCAGTTTGAGAATACCAAGAAGGAGTTCCTCGGCGATCCAGATATCCTAGAGAAAAGTTTCCGATGGTTCTTCAATGACCTTTTCTCTGTTAAGCAGGGGATGCAAACATTAATGCCAAAGAAGTGGAAGATCTATAAAACATACACCGATATCTACCATCGGATGATGCATGACTTTTTCGTGGATCTGATCAATGACCCTGAGCTACCCCCAGATAATTTACTCTCTATTATCCACTGGAGCGAGAAATACTACAAGAAGATGAACAAACTCGGCTGGAAACAGGCAGACCTGCGACCAAACATTCTCGATGATCGTGAACCTGAGCTCATTCGACAGTGGCAGAGCATCATCATCAAAGCGGTCGAAGAATGGATGGAGAGGATCATAGAGACCGACAAAAAGGGCCTGGTGGAGCGCATTCCTGACTCTCTGGACACTAATGCAGAAGGCTATTTCCGCACCAAAACCCTTCCAGATATGTGGCGCATGATTCATGAACAGATCCAGGCAGCTACCGCCTCCTCCCGCACAGACCTGGTCGAAGGCATTATTGATTCTATGTTCCGAGTGCTCAAGGGACGTCAGACCGCTTGGCAATCGCTCATCGAAGAGGAGTGCGCCAAGTACAAGGCGCCAGGTGGCGACCAGCTTGATGGATTGCAGCTGCTGCAGGATTGGCTTGTTGCGGTGGCCAATGACCAGATTGCTTGCATCGATGACAATGATGAATCAGGACAATTGGGCTACCTGTCGAGGTTCAAGCGCGACTTCGAGGCGCACGTTGACCCGAAATACATGGCGGCACGAGCCATACCCGAGCTGGATGCTCTTCGCGATGGTTACGTGGATCTAAGTACCTATTGTCTTACTCAATTCGTCGAAGTGGTTTTCGTGGTCGACTTCCGCGCTACTATCCCCGATTTCTTCACTCAGAAGTGGTATGGCGACTTTGCCATCAAGCGAATCACTTCTACCTTCGAAGATTACATGGCCGATTACTCCCCTGTTATTCACCCATCTCTTATCGACATCTTAGTCGAGGAGCTCTCCGACGAACTCTTGGTCCGGTACCTGTCGTCTGTGCGTAACCGCGGCGTCAAGTTCCGGCGACACGCTGATCCATACACGGACAAGTTCAAGGACGACGTCCTCACCGTTTTCGCCTTCTTCCAAAACTATCCGGACTCTTTTGCCAGTACCATCAAGCAAAAGTGGCGACTCGTCGACTGGTTGGTTCGCCTGCTTGAATCAGAGAAGGGTCCTGCCGTTGTTGCAGTCTATGAGGATTTCAAAATGGAATACTGGGATCTCCAGCTGACATGGGTTGAGGCGGTGCTTAGGACAAGGGATGACTTTGAGAGAAGCATGATCAGTGCCGTCAAGGCCAAAGCAGCAGAGTTGTCAGTGGAAAGAGGTATGGAGACTCTTATGAGTCGGATGAGGTAGTTAAATGATATTTAGGGGATGAATGGCAATGCTCTATTCAGCGTGGTGTTAGGAGTTATTTTTGATTAGATGCCAGGGTCGGCTGTTGCCAAGATGTATTCTATAATATGGATCCAATGATTCCAATCTATATGCTCGTTTTACTTCGGCTAGAAGCATGTCTAATTATTTACTTGATGCTGGGTATATAACAGTCAACGAATATTCACACCACCCCCATCACTACTGGCATCGGCCTTACCATCTCCGTCTCCGATAGACTGAAACTCCAAGCTCCGTTCTATTACGGCCAAGTATTTCTCTCGCAAACGCGCGTTCATTCCATCCTCGTCGGCCTCCGGGTCAAGTTTCTTCGCACCCATCTCACAGATACATATCGTTTCAAGGGCGAAGTCCTTCGCCCACACAAAGGCATATTGCTGTCTACTGCCGCCTGTGGCATCCCTAGACGCCCTTCTGTTGTTCGGCGACCTGTCTTCCTCACTTTCCGGGCGGCTGGTCTCATTATCGGAAAGACCCTCCCCGTTCAGCGGATCTTGCTCACCACCATCCCCGCTAGTTGTAACTACCGTAGCTCGAGGAGTCGTTCTATCACTGTCAACATAATAGTTCCGATAGTGAGACAGAAAATCCCGTGCATCGAAAGTGTATTGGTTTTTGCGATTTTGACCCTTCTGCGGTCCTCCACCCCGTGCTCTCCCACGGACATAAATCGTATTTGCCACCGTAGCGTGCAGGAGAAGCGGTCTGATCTTCGGTTTTGAAGCTGTAGATTTCTTTGATACAGCTTCGGTGCTTATCGACTTGTCTGATCTAAGCGCGTCTTCTTCCGCAATGTTGGCTGGGATTTCCTCGAGGTGGGAGGGCTCTTCAACTGCCGCGCCCTCTGTAGACTTATCATTCGTCTGCTTGATATCCTTCTCCTTCTTCTGCTCACCCACCAAAAATCCGGCCTCCAAAAATTTGTCCCGCAGCAGTTCGCAGAAGGGATACAAACGAGCAGTAGGATCGACAGGCGCCGCATGTAGGACCGTTGCGGCGCGCGCACGAGGAAGCGCATGCAAAGATTCAAGAGAGACGGTGAACGGGCTCGGAGGGCTTTCATCATGCGATTTGGCGACTTCCCCAGCGCTCGGCGAAGATGACTGCTCTGCTGCTGAGACTAACGGCGCATTTCTCTTTCTCCCTTGCGCGCGTGCGCTTGCGATTTTCTCGGCCTCGCGCGCCATAGTGACTAGGTCTAGTGACTGGAAGAACTCGGTAGCCTCGTTCAGACGCTCCTTCGTTGGGAGACTCATGACACCCAGAGTCAGGTGCAGGGTACGACGGGACGGAGCGCGCCATCAGGGATGAGTGGCTTTTCTGGAGTTCCATATCGGAGTGCACGGCGAGGAATCGAGGCTTTGAAGGCTGCCAGAGAGGATTCCAGTTGGGGGAGGGATTTTGAGTTGACTAGAGGGAGGCAGAGAAAGTGCGTTAGGGGCGGTCTTTTCTCTTTCTTTTTAGCGTCGGACATGACTGTCGTCCACCGTTTGGGGTGGTATGAGCGAAAGAATATGAATGTTGATGACGAGGCTGTTGTGACTCTTGTGAGGGGCCTGCACGGCCCGGGGTATATCATCTATATAGCAACTGTAGCTCGTCGGTACCCCCAGCGGTCTGCTTGACAAGAAAGACGAAGCGTCGAGTCAGACGCTAATATAGTGTATGCGATATATGTGGCGTTGGCAGGAACAAGTTTGTCTAATAATATTGTTGTAATTGGTGATGGAATCAAATGCGGAGAAAGTCCACGCCGAATGGAGTTAAGCTCCAAATAAGCTATGATGCCATCCATTTCCTTTACCTCCACTTTTCCCTGCTCTTGCACCTCCCAACGTCCCTCTTCAATAACCTAGTCTCAATCCTCTAGAAGACTGTCTCACCCAGTCAGTACCTCACATATCCCACTATGCTCTCCCGCTTTCCTCGAGCTCTCCCAGCGGCCATCCGCCCGACCCTCCGCGTCGGCCGGATCTCAGCGCCAGTAGCTTCTCATTTCCAACCCCAGGCGAGTCCAGCCCCTCGCTCATCTCGTCGGGGCTTTCACTGCACCCCTGCAGCTCGTAAGGGCATCTTCCCAGGCTCGTCGGACCCTCCGGCCCCAAACCCGCAAAGCAACAACGTCGCGGGCGCCGCCAGCCATGTCACCGAGCCATCGCCATTGACAGACGGAGAATACCATGAATATGCGGAACATTATCTCAATGTGCTCCAGAGCGAGATAGAGAAGGTCCAAGAGGAGGGTGCGGACATTGAGGCTGAGTATAGTGTGCGTTTCTTCCGTCGCTAATATCTCTTTGGACCACTTGGATGGAGTTTAGCTCTGTCGCTCTTTCCTTCTACTTGGTTTCCGTCACAGAATTAATTGGTATACGAATTGCTAATCACTCTCCTGCATATAGGCCGGAGTAATGAACATTATCCTTCCCAGTGTCGGCACCTATGTCTTGAACAAGCAACCCCCCAATAAGCAGATCTGGCTCAGCTCCCCTATCTCTGGTCCCAAGCGGTACGACTGGGTCGTGGAAGGAGACTACATGCACGAGAAGCAGGATAGTAGGCCCTTTGCTAATGGCCAATGGATCTATCTCCGGGATGGATCGAATCTGACGGACCTGTTGAACACCGAGTTGACTTTGAATATCCCGAGAGATGTCTACACCGAGGAACTGTGATCTGCTTGCTCTGGTTGCAGCGGTATGCGACTGTCCTATAGGAAGATGCGCTTTTGTTGCTCGGATCATGAATACATGGAATTGTGGTGGTTGTAGGATATGAGAGCTCCTTAGCTGAATCTTGGTGGACTAAACATTTCGGCATCGAGTACTACACCATATACTTGTTGCGCAGACATGGTACAATATGCATATTTGGATTTCGTAGTGAATTATCTTTCCCAGATTCAGTATTGGAATCCCACTACTCTGCATATGTCGAATATACAACGACCAATTCTAGAAGGCCATCATCGCCTAATAGTACCACATCGTTACTATGATGCGATCACTATTGGCTTCACTTCACACGCCCACTAACGCACCTCATCTCTCACGTTTTACCGGCACAAAGTCAAGAGATATGATGCCTCTTCGACCAAAACCCCCAACCGGGTCTCGCAGCAAATCCCCCTCACATCACGCCCGGTAAGACTCCACTGACACCTCAATCTTCGGATCAATGTTACCAGCGGCGCGAGGGCCGGCATCCGACTGTATTGCGCTCGCGATGTCGCATGGCTCCGTGGCGAAGACTGAACTTCTGTATTTTTCCTTCAGGTCGACAAACGAAAAGCCGAGAGATTCCTCGAACAGTACGTATAACGACGTATGGTGGTATCAATTTATAGCCCCTATAGTTGTTTCCCTACTTCGCTCTTAAAATAGTTTAAGCCTGAACCGCAACAGCGCCGGGGCCTTGCTGTTGATCGTCCTTGGGGAGGTCGTCCTTGATCATGTTAGTAAGAACCCCGATGTATACATGATAATAAGAAAGAGATACATGAAGACGTACAACATCAAAAATAACCCGGATCATCAAGCTGCAGCTGGGGCAAACGGCGATTTCCTCTCCGTCGCGAAGATCATCGATCGCAATCTCGAATCGGTCGCCACACGGGCATGGGTAATGGTAGATTTGGAGGACGGGGTCGAAGGTCATATCCTCGATTTCGATTTCGTCGTAGATAGAAAGGGCTTCGTCGGCCATTTTGGGTGTATTTCTAGTTATTGAAAGATTATTCTGTGGATTTGGGGAAATTTGAATATCAGTGTATAGATTCCATGAGTCTTATCGGCGGAAAACTTTTGGTGGGATGGTCAGGTGATTAACGTGCGGGGTGGTGCTTATTGGCTGGTTCAATAAGGTTGTTTTGGTGAGAGGTACAAGATTGAATCATCCAATTGGAGGACATGAATAAAGTGATGAATATGGACATGGTTATTAAGCTGTGTAAGGCACGATGATGCGTTTGGAACAAGGGTATCTTAAGAGAAAACAATAAATCGAGAAATGCCTACCCATTCATAACCTTTCAATCTCTGACCTCACATCTTCAATTTCTCGGATTAAATCCCCGTATTGTCGGGTAATTTCCCCAATAGGTCCTGTTGCTAACCGTCCTCTGGTGACAGCTCTATCGTTCACCCCCGAGTCGTCCACCTCATATGCTTTTAGTTCCTCCAGGGCGGACACCTTTCTCTCTACCAGCCGCTCTCGGGTGTCTTGAAGGTGTTGGCGGTATCGGCTGAGGGCAGCAAGAGTCTCGGGCGTGTGTATCGTGGCACAAATATCCAGTTTTGTCATCCTATCATGTATAATTAGTCTCGGTAGACCTTCATAAACTCCTTGAACTTGAACCAAAGCCACTACGGTCGGACATACCTCAACTTCCCTTCCATACCCCGTGCTACGGTAGCTAGATGCTCCGCCTTTGCCTTGGTGGCTCGGGCGAGTGCCCCGTGTTTGGCGCGTTCCAGTAACACCACCGTACGCTCCAGTACCGCAGCCCGTGTCGCCAGGACTTCCCCCGCTGTCGCTGCCATCCGGGTGCGGGCTGCCGGCAGTTCAGATAGCTGTTTCTGGCGTAATTTACGCAGTCGATCTTCAAGCTGCGGGGAGAGAGAAGGTGCTCTCATCATTGACTGACGAGCCCTAGTTCTGGGTCGGGATAACTCCGCAGACAGAGGATTCGAGGCGTCACCCGCATTAGCGATCAATCGAAGGGCGCTCAGAGAAGAGGAAATAGCATTCGAGAAGGGCCTAATCAACGCAGGAAGGTTGGAGTAGAACTTGTCAATGTCTGGGGCCAAGAGAGATAGCGCATCGGCTCCATCGACATCGTCACCATCTAGGTCGAGCTGATTGGATGATGAGTCCAAATACAAGCTGATAATTGCAATCGTGCAGCGGTACTAGTAATAAGTCATGCATCCTTGTCAGCCATTACTTTTCTCCTTAATGTAGATTCCCTGTGGAGCCATGCTGACATCGTCCGATATATCACTGTCAGGATCAAAGGCTAGCTGTCGCAGCATTTGTTTCTTGATTTGCTTTTTCATATGACGAGTCCGGCAGTTTTTTAGTTCCTGGCACAATGTTTTCTCAATTTAGTATTCTTGTTGTTCATTCCTCCGAGTGCGGAATTGTCCAAGTTTCGGACAGTTTGGGCACGTACTTCCAATACGGCCTTTCTGGCAGGCTGCGCATGGTTGGCGCGTGTCGAAGCATCAGGGTGGAGCAAATTTGTTGTCAAGTTCCGGTATAGTCTCTTGAATTGAGGATTGTTCTCAAGTATTGCTGGATCACAAGGGGGTAACATGGCCACGGTTGTTGCGTTCTCAACATGTGGTCGAGAGGTTATGAAGCTGGAGATTAGATTCGGATAACATTTAATCGGTGTGCTGCGTCACCGCCCACCGATAAGTAGTATTATCAATTTAAATCAATACCAAGATACCTTCACAAAACATACCGAGACTCATGAGGTATGTAGAGTGCCATACCATGCCTACAGGTAATTAAATTACTCGGAATATGTATAAGAATACAAAGTCTCAGATTTTCGCTTCCGTTTTCACATTTCTTTCGTAATCATACATGCACTAGGTGCCATCACAACCCTCTCCTCAGAGAACTATCACTGCGCATCGACTTGCAACTGAAGTATTTCCGCCTTCACAAGAGAACAAGCGCAAAACATGCTTAAAGCAAGTCCAACCAATGTCGGCAGGAAGCGCCCTCATGAAAGACGAGCAAAAGCATATCGTGCGTTCACCACAGGGTTATGGATCTTGCCACCAGATGCAGGCGAGCGAAAATGAAGAGCTCAGACGCGACATTCAACCCGATAGAAGTAAAGGGCTATGTACAAGAATACCAGGCGCCTGATTAAAAAATAGTTCAGGCCGTCTTCCAACGCAACAGTATCGCTAATAGTGGAAAAGAAAAGACGAACAGAAAAGGCTGGCGTGGGAAAACAGGTTAACAACCAAGATGGGGGAACAACTAATTAGAACGATGGATAACGTAAAATGAAGGGTAGGAATGCCCAGGATTACTAGCAAAGTAGATCAACAAGACTAAGTGGAAGATTTCCGAAAAGTAAATATTCAGCCAGAATTCATCCAGCGAAGGTTTACTCCTCCTCGCTCTCTTCCGAGTCATCTTCCGAATCGTCGCTACTTTCGTTAGCTTCGACAGAGGGGACTGGATCTGGAGAACGGCCACCACCCTGGAAGCGAGACAGGTTGCTTTCAAGCATGTTGATCTGAGCCTCCTGTTCGAATTTGCTCATAGGCTTGTTTTTCTTTGGCTTGGGGGCGGCAGCAGTATTCATAGCAGTGGGCGTCGCCACTTCTTCATCTTCCATAACTTGGGGCGCATTCTTCTTGACGAATCTGAGCAGCATAAGTAATACATCATTGGGCAGCTCATCAATATCGAGTTCAATCTCTGTTTCTTGGGTGCCCTAGACGCAAAAGTTAGGCTTCTCAGCTCATGACAGTAAGTAGATGTTGCCAAGATCGTACCTTGAGAGACGGAACGTTACTTTGGATGATCTTAAGCGCTTCCTGCATCTTCTTATCAGGAAGGCTACTGATCCCATTAGATATGATCTGCTTCTCCTGATATGTGACCCAGCGCTGCTTCTCGGGCTTTGATGGCTTTATGCTGCTCTTCTTGTCCTTCTTCGCCAGACTCATGCTTCCAGGCTTCTTTATATCCTTCGTGCTAGACTTGAGCTTCCCGGCTTTCTTCGCTCCGGGTGGTGTCTTCTTCTTCTTCTTCTGAGCAAGAACTTCCACCTTACGTGTCATTTCAGCAATCTTCTGTTGTAGCCGCTGAAGTTCTTCGTCGTCATCGCTATCGTCCGCATCTTCGTCGCTTTCCTCAGATTCAGACTCGGACTTTCCGCTGTGGTGCTCAGGATGCGGTTCATGGGCCTCCAAGTAGCGTGCCTTCTGAGCCCACTTGGAGTTGAATATCTCTTCAAACTTTTGTCCAGCAAGGTATGTAGGATCTCCTGGTATATTGAACTTAAAACAATTCTTGAAAATCATGCGCATGTCCAGTTCGAACTCTTTGGCGTTCTCGTATTGACCAGTTTTAGTTTTGTCTGCATAGTGGAGAGATCCATTGGTTTCTTGATAATGCTGTGGTAGGTAGGGATATTCAGGGCCACCGGATCAACGGGCTGATAGAATGGGACCGCATAATTAAAATGTTTTGGTTTGTGAAGCTCATCAAGGACCTCCTGGCAAAACTTCAATTCCCACTGATATTTTTTCTTTTTCGGTTTCGTCGAGTAGGGCAGATCGCGCTTCGGAGGATGGATAGACCGCTTGGGCCGTCCATCAGCATTGGTAGAATCACGACGAATAACAGGAAGACCTTCTGGTCCCAAAGCGAAGGTTGTAGCCTGAGGGGAACCACCAGTTGGGCGTGGGAGAGCTTGCCCTATACTTGTCCGTGGTTCCCGTCGTGCTGCTGAGGTCTTAGGAGAAGACTTCTTCGGTTTCTTCTCTTCGATATCATCAGTCCTAGGGCAGTTAATCATCTGCTTTTCAAAGGTAGACTTGAGCTTCTGCCCTTCCTGCGCAACAATATGATCCGGGCCATTGAACGTCAACGAGTTTTGAACCATGAGGTTAAAATCGTCAATGACAGCCTTGACTGACTTGTACTCGTTGTTTTTCAGGCGTCTCTCAATGGTTCCAAGATCCATAGGCTGTCTGATAATCTGCGGATAATGAGGGATATTCATCTTCTCTGGATCGACTGGCTCCCGATAAAAGCGTGAGTCGTGCATACGCTTCAGGCTTTGAATCCCTTTAAGAAGGAACTTGTGTTGAACCCTGGTCATAGTCGCATCACCATTCGTTGCCGCATCCGCACGTCGCTCAGCCATGGGGCCGGGAGTACCGGGTGCTTTAAATCCGGACGGCCCAGAAGCTTCCCCTCCAATCTTGGTACGCTTCGCGGCAGGTTCATCTCTTGGGTCTGGTTCGCGTTCCCTAGGTAGCTTTGTGGGAGAGATCGGCACATCTGGCGCGTCTCGCATTTCCTGATCAGCACCCTGCAAAGGTGGGAGCGAGGGAGCCTTAGTAGTTAAATCATTGTTCGAAGAACCTTCAGGCTTTGAACTAGCGGGAGGATGATGGGGAAGATCGGTCTTCGCGGCAGAGCCTTGAGCCTGGATGCTGCCGTCCATCTTTTTCGCTGGCTTTAAGCTATCTAGCGTTGGCTGCGATTTTTGAGTGGTACCATTATCAGAACTAGCATTACCGGCAGACAGTTGTCCACTAGAGTTGGTAAGGCTATTCCCAATTGCTTCCTTCTTTATCTCGTCCGTCGCCGAAGATTGCGCGATCGGCGCTTTGCGTTCCTCAGGTAGGGCAGTCGGTGACTTCGGAGGAGATGTTGTATTGACTCCGTTTGTGGCAGTAGTCTCATGACCATTCACTGAAGCAGGTTTGGTCGAATTGGTCCTTTTCTCATTAGCGGCCGCGTCTGGGTTAGAATCAGTTACAAGACCCTGCACACTGTAAAGAGGCAGTCAGCAATTAGCCCCATGTTTCCAAAAGTGGGTCGGAGGTATACATACTCTTTGCGACCAACATCGACTGAAGATATGCCATTTGGCGACGGTGGCAATTGAGGCTTCTCCTCCTTGACCATAGGAGCAGCCTCCGGAGGCGGCGTCGCCATCGAGGTCGATGTTTAAATGTCCAACTGAGGACCAGAATACAGTGTACTAACACGCAGCGATGAAGGTAGCAGCCGGTATCAGCTATCGAGAAAGCTTAAAAGCGACAACAAAAATGCACTGAATAGGTATTCTCTGCGCTATCACAGACTAAATGGATCGATTCGTCAACCGTCGACTAAAACCCCCTGATTAAGTGACAAAAGACAGATGAAAACTGTTGCTCAGCAGTCACAACTGCTGCGACGCCGCGGTGTTAGAATATACAGGAAATATGAGATTAGCGCGGGTCGGAAGTGGAGAATGCGACAGGAAGCAGAGGAATATATATTGCCAAGAGGCGGTACGCTGTAGAGTCACGTGGGCGGCAAGCCTGATTGACTAAGCGTGAGGCAATCTCGAGATAAAACGGAAGTGGAAAGAAGAATCAAAGGAGAAGTCGAAAAAGAATAGGCAAGTCAGGTGATCTCTAGGGGGATCGCACGTGCCAACTCATGTATCTGAGGCCACAGTGATTATATGGACCTCGTGGAGTCGCGATCGGGAGTGAAGGGTGATAGAAATACAGTTAATTTGGTTTGGGGGGTTTGAGTTGTTGCTAATAATAATAAAGTGAAGGGGAAAATAATAATGACAATAACAAATAATAAAAAAAAAAAATAAAAGTAAAAATAAAAGGCAAGTGCAGTAGCTGTGGCTGGGATTCTTATCTGGGAGCGCGACGCGACAACGCGTTAGACCGTGTAAAAAAGAAAATAAATGATGATAATGTCCAGGGGTGGTCACGGGTAACCTTGGACACGCAGGTTTAGGCGAGGCGGTAAGAAAAAATGGTAAGGAAGGCGTGACCGGCGCGCAGCTCAGCTCAGGTCCAGAAACAGAGACTGAGGAAATCGGAGGGGGTGCTAGAATCCTTAAGTACGAACGGCCGCGTCGCGCTCGTCCGTCCTCTGCCGCTAACTCCATCGGATACACTAATCCTAATTAAATATTCAGCACCTGTTGATTGGCTGGTTGGTGACGCGCTCTACGAGTCCATGAATACGATTGGGTTCTTCCAACTCTGGTGGATCCTCGTACCAGGAGTCCCTTTGTCGGAAACATCCTCGAAAAATATTCAGCTCTCCCAAAAAAAAGAAATAGTTCAGAGCTGCGAAAAAGGAACATCAAGCTGATGAAATAAAAGACAACTGAGCAACACTGAAAGTCCGCCAAGGCGTTTGGCTTGGACACATCTCATGAGACGCCGTCCGCTAAATGTATCTTTGTCATGCCGTAAGTTAGATCAGATATGACATACCCAAAAATCTGTTAGGCATTCATGACGGGGATTAAGGACTGCATCATGGATATGGTTGATGGCTGGTTTGCTACACACCGATCCAGAAAAAGTTGATCTGCTGACCCGGGAAAGCCCCAGGGTCAAGCCCTGAGCCCTTCCCTTGCATTGCATTAGGTCTAGCCTCGTGTTGCTGACATAACCACTATGACTTATTAGTCATGCCAAGAGAGATAAGTTAGTGAACTATAGAAGATGTCAAGAGGATGTGGACAGAAACATCGTCGGCTCGGGTGCCTGGTTGCATTGATCTCTAGAAAGGTGATTCTGTCGCGATATGAGTATGAGCTTAACTCAACTGTTTCCCTAGTAGTATCTGTAGCGTATCAGTGGCGTCTGCCTGTATCCCTTGTTCTGCTGGTCTCAGGACACGCCACATTGGTCTTCGAATAATCACCAGTGTCGCGCTTTATCAGTCACCCCTGACTTGTCTGCGAAGTGGAACATGACAAAGGGGGTTTTCTTGCAGCTGAATCTGGGTGGATGGAAATGAGTCAAAAGCGTACCAACTGACAACGCATGACTCTGCGCGGAGAATATGCAACAGTATGCCAGTTGTAGTCCGAATGAAAACTGCGCATATTTGCCTCCCAAGGCCCGAAGAATGCGACTTATGAGTCTCACGGGATTTCGGCCCTTTTGATAAATCGACCAATGGAAGAAGCAAACTGTGCTTATCTTCAGCGCTTTATTTGAAGGCAAAGCTGCGAGTGAGTTTGAGAAGGTATTCAAATACACTGAGATTTGGTTTGGTTGAAAAGATTCGAACGTCTAGCTCGAGATCACCTAGTTTTTGATTACAGGGGGGAGGAAGTGACACCAGAAAAAGTGCGAACTAGGCAGATTCAGCATTCTGCAGACATGTCTAGGACCGACGCATATATTCAGAGGAAAGATGGCTTAAGGATGTTAAAGAGTATGGAGTGGTTGGTACTATGTTAACTATGGAAGAGGCGGGCGATTAGATAAGACGCCTGCAGCACATATATGGCACTAGACCATAACAGGGCAAGCGCCATCTACTGGCTCTACAGAACTTTTTTTTCCTTCCCAGCAACACCGCCCAAGAGACGGCGACAGTCTGTAGTTCCACAGACTCACAACATCCAGGTGTCGCTCAAATTCGAAGCGGGACTAGGCTTAGCTAACTACCTAGAGTCTGTTTTGTGACGTTGTTTGTTTGTTTTTCACTTATAGATTCGGTCAAAATGGGTAAGAAGACGTCTCGCCCGCCCGCCTCGAAAACTTCCTCCGCTGCGTCGCCCGCAATATCCGGCCTGACATACACGGGAAGCAAATCTTCGATATTAAAGGCATCCTTTGCACCGTCTGAATATCAATTGGCGCTTTTCGCGTCAGTCATTCAGGGTCTTGATGCTCAGCATTTGCGAATTCATGATACGAATACCGGCCGGTTACAATGCGAGCATGTCTTGGGTCCTAAGGAGACGGTCACCTCCCTAGACTGGGGATACTATCCAGGAAGACAGAAGGATCGCGATCAACAGTCGAAAAAGAAGAGAAAGCGCCACTCCGACGTCAATGGTTCCGCCGGTGGGTTTGATCAGGGAGATGTAGTTGTCGCCTTCGGTACCAGTACTTCAGATATCCGGATGTACTCGCCTACGGAGGACAAGATTGTCGGGACACTCGCTGGAGCTCATGATGAAGGTGTTAAGGATTTCAAATTTACTTTGGGCAAGCTCGCTCAAGAAGGCTGGAGTGTCGGTGGTGATAACAAACTCGTACAATGGGATCTGCGCACCGGGAAAAGCACAAAGTAAGCTCATATACCCTTAACGTGGGATTTTCTGGGCCTATCTAACATCACATCCTAGGATAGTTAACTTGCCTTCATCCTCGGCGGTCACGAGTCTGGCACGCCCGCTTCCCTCCAACCCACCTGTTATCTGCGCATCTCAAACGCCATATCTGATCGACATTGATAACAATGATGCGCCAGTTGCGTTCCCCGCCATGCGCAATTCTATCCACACTCTTCTCACCTCCTCCACTGAGTCCGCTTCTGCCGGATTGTTCCTCGGCTCCGATAATGACCGTTATATCAATGTGTTTGATCCTGAGAGTCGGAAGCTCGTGATGAATCTAGTGGCTGAAAAGGAAGTATCCTCGTTGTCATTGTATACCGGCTTCGGGAGGAAGACAGGCGACTCGTTGTCGTTGGAAAAGCAAGCCCTCGCAGCTGTAACCGACGACGGTACAGTTGAGCTTTTCATGAGGCCATTCGTTCAGCCGAAGGACTTACAGGCAGGTAAGGCTGCCACGAGTTTGAAGGCAAAGGGAAGGCAGATGACCAGGAGAGCAGAGTGCTCCATTAAGATCACGCGCTCCGAGGGCTCCGATGCGCTCGTCCCTGTGGTAACAGCATCGTTTCAGGGTCGTGACCTAGTCGTCGCTTATGCTGAGGGAGGCATCATTCCTATTTTCGAGCGTGTTTCTTGTCTCGATGAGGAAACCGACGAGTTGGCATTCACGGGTACAAAGAAGATTGTCAAGAGCAAGTCCAACTCAGTACTCTCATCGGTAACTACAAACGGTGCAAGGAAGATAGGTGAAAGCCAGGTCGATGAGTCCAAGGCAGTGGTACAGCAAGGGAACCTCGCAGATGACGATGTTGAGATGCAAGACTCCAAACAAGACGCTATCTCAGATAGCGATGAATACTCGGATGATGACGATCAAGAACGCAAGCAGTCAGGTGGAATGAAAGAAACAGACAAACAGAACGGTACCGACAGCGATGTGGAGATGGATAACGCGGAGGAGTCCGATCCTGAAGATGAGGACGAGACAGGCGAACCCTCCTTTGGCGAGCTCATGCGGGCAAATGCAGCAGAGATTGATGTTGAGGCTGAACTTGAGGACGATGTTCGCATCGGGTCTCTTGTTCCTGGGAAACCCAACAAAGCAGTCCAGCAGATTCCATCTGGTGTCTCGCTCTCCACTGTCCTTACGCAGTCCCTCAAGACTAACGATAACGACATGCTTGAATCTTGTTTCCATACCGGTGACCTCTCGATTATCCGGATGACCATCCAACGTTTGGAGTCATCCCTGGCAGCTACACTCCTCCAAAAGCTGGCCGAACGCCTTTCTGCCCGACCTGGTCGGTACGGACACCTCCTCGTGTGGATCCAATGGACATGTGTCGCACATGGCGGGGCGCTCGCCGGTCAGCCAGATCTTTTGAAGCGTATGGCTACGCTTTACAAGGTTATGGATCAGCGCTCATCAAGCCTGTCCTCTTTGCTGCTGCTTAAGGGTAAGCTTGATATGTTGGACGCGCAACTTGGCTTGAGGCAATCCATCCGCAGTGGAGCGGAAGGAATGGAGAGTGAGGATGAAGACAACGTCATCTACGTTGAGGGAGAGGAGGATCTTGAGGAGGAGGATAGCGATGCTGAGACTGCGAAGCATATGGCCACTCCACGGACCAAGTTGATTCGCGATCAGACCTTCGACGAAGACGAGTCCATGCTGAACGGCGTCCAGTCCGGTATGGATGAGTCTGAAGACGAGGAGGAGGGCAGTGAGGAGGATGACGATGAGAATGAAGATGTATTTGACGTTGAGGCGGAGGAGTCTGCCGGCTCTTCCGACGCTGAGGAGTCCCTCGAGGAGGACGAAGACGACGAGGACGAC